GAGGAATTAGCTGCTCTGCGCCCCATCCCATAAGAAGTGATGACATCCTACGCTTGGACTCCATTTCTGAACACCTGTTGCGCTCATATCCAATGACCATAGCCCCGCCCATGTAGACCCAATTCCCTGAATTCTCCACCTTTGTTCATGAATAAACACATTCTCCTTCCCACCTAAGCTCCCTTTAAAAGCTTCTCTCCTTTTCTCTTGGGAGAAAGATGGGACATTTTACTCCATAAAGAGTTGTAGTCTTGGAGGGTCGCTATGAGTCAGCATCGACTCAATAGTAGTGAGTGTGCATTTTTGGTTTTGGTAAGTAAAGAGCATCTATTATAGATGAGTGTAAAGCCACAGAAACAATCTATGTAGAAGAGCAACTTGGCCCACATGCTGAGCTCCGTCACCCAAATCCCAGTACCAAAGCCAGCACAGTTCAGTGGAAGCATGGAAGAGCTGCATTCTGATTCGGGGTGGGGGTGGCTAATCTCGCCTCACGGCCCGTAGCTCCAAACCCGCCAAACTCGGTCTATGTTAATCAGTCAGCATTCTACTATAAAAAGTTTTAGTATCCATAGGGACAGCTTTGGTGGTGTAGTCGGGAACAGTTAGACTGCTAACAGCGAGGCTGATGGCTCAAACCCCCCAGCTGATCTGAGGGAGGATGAAACTGTCTGCTCCCATAGACTGACAGCGGTGGAAACCCTGAGCGGAGTCACCGCTTGTCAGCATCCATGTGACGGCAGTTTCACATGGACCCATGGGCCCTTCTTTTTATTCAGAGATGCTCTTTCATGGCCACTCACTCAGATGCGTGTACTTGGCTTTCACCGGTGGAAACGGAGTCAAGGCAGCTTCTGTTTACTTCTGACATGTCACTGTCAGTTTTTAAACATGTCTTATTACTTCCAGAAGAGTGCTAGCTCTGCAGTGGGTTCAGCACCAGTCTGCATTTGTTGAATCCTGTCTGACCTTGTGAATTCTGAACCATGTGGACAGATTACCTTTAAGACAAGCTGATCCACGTAAAAGATAAAAAAATGCTTTAGAAGAAAACTGCACCCCTATGAGTCTCAAAGCTAGGAATCCTTGGGCTGGTCAGCAGTTGGAAATTAGCAGTTGCTCCTTGGGAGAAAGAAGAGGCTTTCCACTCTGACCAAGAGTTAGTCTCCAAAGACCCAGAACAAAAAACCCTATCAATGTGAATGAGGGGGAG